ACTGTAGAGCAATACCTATTTCTTGTTCATTAGGGAAATTCGTCAATAAAGCTGGATTATTTTCTGGTGCAACAATCAATGAAATCGTTTCCCAAAAAGTAAAAATAGCTCAAGGAAGGGAGGGATCCAAAACTGAATTATCCCCATTACCGTCGCCAGCCTATATGAATATACTAATCTCAATGCATTATTGGGTGCAATAATTATACATTATCCAAATGCATTATTATTCTTGCTGAGCTCTTACGAAATAAATCTTCTTTTAACGACCGTTAAGTTTGAGCGTAAGGTCCCTAATTGCAAAAGCACTCACGGAGTCATAAAGGCGTGCAGTGTCTTGCTTCAGAGAGACAGAGGAAGGATATAAATGTCATTCCACATCGACTCACGAGCCACATTCCAATGAACCTGTCAAAATGTACGACTGTGCCACGGAAAGTGAGGTTGAAATATGAATGGGTTCTCTTTTGGGACCTTTTCGAGGTAAATATTGGCCCGGCAAATTATTCACGCGTAGCCGATTTCGGCTGGCGTTCTCAAACATTTCTAATGATCTTCGTGACCATATATACTAGCAGACAGAGTGAACAAGTTTTGCGTCGTAGAAGGTTATACTGATGCCATGTATACTGTGAATGTATCTTCTGTTTGTTCTACGAAACGGTAATGCTGAGCAGTGCTGCTGGGCAATAGAAAAAAAAAATGCACTACGTGACTCGTGAATATTTTTCCTGGGTCAAATCGGATTGCGGATATTAAAGCACCTTTCACTGCAACAACATTCAGGTTTTCGCAAGGTACTGTACCGCTCTGCTAATTTAGCGCCCATTGCGCTACTTAACACACCTGTATTACAACAAATTATTACTGAACTAAATACAAGCTGAAGTGTGCCGTTCAAAGCCTCTCAAACCGGTTCGTAATAACGACTTATGTCATGTACTTGAAAATCACCGTCGAAACTTCCGAGCATGATGGAAATTAAACGAGTTTCACATGCTTTTCGAGAAGTAATTAGTTGCATATTTGAAAATTTCCCGAGACCTTTCATTCAAGCTCGATGAAAATGATCGACACAGACCAATCTGATGAATACATTACTGTATAAACATTGATTGATGTTGGGGATAAACTTTAAAAAAGCATTTTCAAATAAATGTAACAGCTTGAATGAGTGAAAATCCTAATAAAGAAAAAGTTTATCATTTTGTATCCAACCCACGTGCAGTTGTTTTTTTTATACTGTGAGTAACTGATTTCATCGTGTATTGTACTTTGCTGTGTCGATGAATTACTTTGTGGAACATCATTAAATGCCAATTATCATTTCGGAATGTCTTCGACAATGTTCACTGTCAACCCCGGGGTGCATTGCATTTATTATTCTTTTCTAAGATGAAATTTTCTCAAAAATTGTGTTCATGAATCTAAAAAAAAAGCTACTAAAGCCCAACTTTCGAAAAATTGGCCATTTCAATAAGTCAAGGAACACTGCTCGAGTTTCCTGTGGAAGGAAACTTACCCTATTTTGCGAAGGAATACGGAAATGTTCTTATTAATCGCGGGTAACGCGATGAATTGTGTGGACATAATGTTGTTTAATAATGACTTGATTTATGTTCGACTTCACACGGCAAGTTTCGGAGAGTTTGGCCAAGCATTATTGCTGAATACAGTACATGAACGCAATCACCGTCGAAACTTCCGAGCATGATGGAAATTAAACGAGTTTCACATGCTTTTCGAGAAGTAATTAGTTGCATATTTGAAAGTTTCCCGAGATCTTTCGTTCAAGCTCGATGAAAATGATTGACACAGGCCAATCTGGTGAATACATTACTGTATAAACATTGATTGATGTTGGGGATAAACTTTAAAAAAGCATTTTCAAATAAATATAACAGCTTGAATGGGTGAAAATCCTAATAAAGAAAAAGTTTCTCATTTTGTATCCAACCCACGTGCTGTTGTTTTTTTTTCTATACTGTGAGTAACTGATTTTATCGTGTATTGTACTTTGCTGTGTCGATGAATTACTTTGTGGAACATCATTAAATGCCGATTATCATTTCGGAATGTCTTCGACAATGTTCACTGTCAACCCCGGGGTGCATTGCATTTATTATTTTTTTTCTTAGTTGAAATTTCCTCAAAAATTGTGTTCATGAATTGAAAAAAAAGCTACTAAAGCCCAACTTTCGAAAAATTGGCCATTTCAATAAGTCAAGGAACACTGCTCGAGTTTCCTGTGGAAGGAAACTTACCCTATTTTGCGAAGGAATACGGAAATGTTCTTATTTGCTTCAAGTAAATAACGAATGGGTTCATTGCTGTGAAGCAAGACTACGGAAGGAACCCAGGAAGGTTCGGGTTACAGAAACGCCCGAACTTGGCAACGAAAAGAACAAATTGTAACGATTATTACCAACGTTTGGAGCACCAACAACAAATATCCCCATCCCCCCCCCCCCCCCCCCCAGGAGATGGGTTTTGTTTCTATTGACTGTCGAATGAGCAGCTGGAGGAAATCTGCGCACCAGCTGTCAAGGGTTTTATGGTTCCACGTTCGTGCATGAGGGTCGTCGGGGCTCCGGGTTTCAAAAATTCCCTGCGCACAGGATTTTATGACTCAAAGAACTGGGTCACACCGGAATTCTTGCTTTTCTTTTTTCTTCTTTTCGTTAACAAATCACGGGTCTTTGTTCAACAGATTTGAAGTTGAAGAATTGTTACGAAAAAAAAAAATCACATTTCAACTTCCTGCCGAGGCCTTCAGACGGATCCTTATTTTTCATCAAACCTAATATGTTCGGAACAAGCATGGCTCTCATCTCAACTGCTGTTTCCAAATGCACTTTTTCTGAAATATTCACATACGATACTCGGGGATAAGCTCCACAAACATTTCCGATTACACACCTTTCAACTTACGCCGTTTATGAAGACAAATGTTGCATTTTACAAAACAAATTTGCGGCGAGAAATCAGATTGTGCAACCTACTGTCTTGGTCTGTACTTGCACCGACGTTTTCTTTGTCAAATGCCTGGAGAGCATCTAAATTAAATTAAAATAAACATTTTGGCCACTATGAGCAAACTGAAGTTCAAGCTCAAATTCTTGAGCAATAAATGCTGAACAATTCCAGAAAAGAAAGTAATTCTCCAGAGGCTGAACGAAGAATTCTGAGCACGATTGCCGTAAACTGTCGGGAACACGATTAACAAAGTTATCGCGTGAATGAAGGAAAGCTGGCAAATATATAGAGCAAGAACCTCAGACTAATTTAGTCTTCTGCGATATATACTAAGCAATTTGCGGTGCTTGCGTCCATGCCACACATGTCGAACAAATGCGAAAGAACAATACAAACGCCATGCCGAATAACACTCGGGTTGTTCCAGCAAATGGACTCAGTCATTTGGACATGCAGGGTTCCTCTCTGCTCCTTTTTCTTCGAGATTCTGCCAATTCCTGCCATCTTCCGCCTTCACCCTCGCGCACAAATTCAGTATCCCGCAGGCCTGTACAGTATGCAACCATTCTGCGCCGAGAGTCCGACTTAATTGAGACCCGCGGGGTTTCTCCGAACAAAAAAAGTAATCTCCGAGTCTCTCAAAAACGCTCATTGATCAAATGTAACTCATGCTGATATTCAAGCATTAGCCGCAGTGCTTACAGGGAATTTTCCGCCAAAAAATGTTTGGCGAAGAATCTCGCCGGTCGCTCTTTTTTTTTTTTTTTAAATGGACGCCAAAACTCTCCAATTCTGGCCAATGATCTTATTTTGCCTGTATACTTCAGTAGTCGCATACATTTGACAATACACAATCGTTCGAGAACATTACATTTATGCAATAAAAAACTCGACTTTGAGATTCAAAAAATCGGAAAATTGGACGCATTAATTTTATGATACAGTACGTATCTTATTCCTCAATCAGTCCTGAAATTAATTAAAGTTTTCTCGGAGGTTTCTGATCAACAAATGAAAACAGATTTTACTGCATGAGAATGACTTTCCGAATTTCAGGATTTGTGCGAAATGACGACAGGATTTCAATAAACTTGATTTCAGTGAGATTTTGAAAGGCGACAGTCATCGACTAACCCTATATAGTACGTTATTTGGAAGCAATCCAATAAAAATCGATTGATTTCGAATAATTTATTTTTTCATCAGTACTTGAAGGAAAGATTTTTTCTGAGTTAAAGGTCGGAATGAATTTGATCCTCGTCTTTCATTCGGGAGCATTTGAAATTGATCTATTTGGGGGAATTCATTCTCTCTCCAGCCGAAGGACGGAACATTTTTCTGCGTTGAATGGATTCAATCAAGAAAGACTCCTTTCTTTTTCGTCACACCCTATACAAATGCAGACGCGGAAAGTTCTGAGGAAATCCGTGGAATGCCGCCGGGAAAGAACAGAAATCAATCAACAGTCCAAAGCTGATCTCGTAGAAAGAAAGATGGCGAAAAATCAGAATAATGCGCTGCGTCCCCCAGGTTACTTTCTTTTCGGTATTCCGGACTCGTTTCTGCTGCTTCAGCAGTTGCTGTATGTGCTGGTCTTCGTCCTTTTCCCTTTTCGCGGTTTATGATGAAGTCGGAATGATTCCTTTTCCTTATTGATGTGCAGCAATCAGCCTCGTGGGGTGAGGTTGAGAAGACGGGTTAATGACGGAGATATGTACCGAGTTTTGGCGATAAAAAAGGAATAAATACATAGAATGAATATAGATGACATACGAGGGTCTTGACAAAATTTTGTGCAATCATGCAAAAGATGTCATACAATTGAGCTGAAAAAATTTATTCTTGAGGGAAAGCATATTCTTTGGCCAAAAAAAATCAGTCCTGTTTGACAATTTGTTTCAATGTTTTTCAAAATTCACCCCAGCAGAGTTTTGCTCTCCACTCAGAAGATGAGGCGCCGTTCCTGCAGATTTTTGTTGTTGTTGTTGTAGCCCAGCTTTCCCCTCAGAATTTTTGAAATGAAAATGGCAGAATTGCCTTGGAAGATCTGGAGGAAACCCTTAGAAAGTAATGCCCTGTTGATTTCAAGAATTCTGACAGGAAAGCTGGGCTACAACAACAAAAAATCTGCAGGAAGAGCGCCTCATCTTTTGAGTGGAGAGCAAAACTCTGCTGGGGTGAATTTTAAAAAACATTGAAACAAAAAACATTGAAACAAATTGTCAAACAGGACTGATTTTTTGGGGACAAAGAATATGTTTTCCCTAAGGAATAAATTTTTTTCAGCTCAATTGTATGACATCTTCTGCATGATTGCACGAACTTTTGTCAAGACCCTCGTATCTATATCACCCTTATCATAATTGTTTCCGAAGCTTTTGGAGAGGAGAGAGGTTTTGGTGATGACATAGTTTTCGTTTTCACAATCCTTAGAATCTTTGCCTCGTCGTGAAAATTTCTGCGTCGGGGAATTTATTTATCGGATTGATAAACCTCCTTAAATATAGGAATCTACTATCTTCCTTTAATCTAAGAACAGTGTATATTAGTAATTTTTCACGAAAGAATTCTCAAATTGTAATCACCAGAACATTTCCTAAAATCTTGTAATATACGTTACAAATTATAGGTGCTTACTCTATTTTAAATTAACGGAAAGATTTCAATTCACACATTCTTTTCGACTGAAATTACTACTCAGAAAAAACCATGTAGCCAGTTTCTGATCGACGATAAAAATCATGATCAATTATATGCTGAAAACCATGTGAAACAATTTATTATACGGTGTCTTTCGGAATTTTGCTTTCATTTACTCCTCAGTGAAAGTTCTGTTGTTTATAAGTTACTCTAAACAGACTGCCACTATGTACACTACGATCAAATAAAAATCAACGTTTAATTACGATCGGAAAGATAAATGATTGTATTAATTGGCGACAAGTTATGGTATTTTCTGTGATTTAAATTTCATTTTCCGTCTTGAAATTCCGAGGGATCAACAAATTTACTTACTCACTGGACCTGGAGTGAACTTTACCTTACGGCGAAAAATAAAAGATATCAAGATGAATTTATGTGTCATGCTTTAAAAAAAATGAAAAGCGATTGCATCAGCTGAGGGAAAACGAACTCCCAACGAAAAAAAAAAACTTCTGAACATGTCAGCGGATATAGTACCGTTTCTAAAATTGAAACTTTTTTTTATAGAGCCCACGTAAGATTTTCAATGATTTAAAGATGGGCCACACACCACATCAGTGAAAATTTTCTCTGCATCAAATATGATGTGAGCCAACCTGCATATGGAGTCTGATCTCCGGAAACGATTCCGACGGAAAATCCAGGAATTGAATGCCACATGTGTTCACGTCAAGTCCTCCTCCATGGGGAAATGAAGAAAATGCAGCTGGGAAAACCTAGCCCTTCTATATGGACCCACATTTTAGTGGGAATGAATTTTCACGATATTCTGGGCTAAAAGGGATTCAAGCGAAATCCCACACAGTTTTTCCGGAGCGATAAATCTGAGCCAGCGGACCGGGGGACGAAATTGAGATAAATTCGGCTTTTTACCCATTTTTAAAAGATTCCACGCCCGACAAAAGGAAAGAGAATGTATATTTCTTCGGAAAGTTCGCTCTATTGTAAATATGCTATCCATTATCCTGACAAGAAGATTGCCTGAAATAACACAGACCATCTCCGTGGCAATTCATTTCTCGACGCTCAAAGTATGAGTGGAACCATCCTGAAAACGTGGAAAATGAAGCCATTATTGTGAAACGCTCGAAAAAATATCCAGGCTTCAATTTTCTTATGAATTTTCGTCAATTATACTCGGTGTTTTTGAAAGTATTTTATGTACTGTAGTACATTTGAACATCATTTCAATGCACTGTTTTTTATATTTTACAGAGTCGGATCAAGCGATCAAGATGAGGCACAAAGTATTCTTCGCTGTTCTGGGACTGCTCCTTTGGTTTCAGGCCATGTCCGTGCTTTCTTTGCCGAATGAAGGTCGCATGAACGAAGCAGGTTTGTACATTTTCATTTTCTCTCCTCCAAATTTATTTCATAGCTTAATTTTTAATGACAGTACTTTATGGTTTATGAGTAAAATTAAAAAAAAATATTCATCGTTTTCAAAACTGGATTCTATTTTCATTAACACAAATTGATTTAAGCAATTTCAGCGAAACATGAACTAGCAAAACCAAACATGGATCTGCATGAAATCTGCCTTTTTTAAAGTGTGGTTGAAATATTGATTTTTGATTAGAAATATTGATTCTACCACCCAATGTCTTATCCCTTTTCGTTTTTGAATTTGTGAAATATAATTGTGACGAATCATTGCGATTGGACAAGCATGGTTGAGTATCTCAAGATTTCACAGATGGAATGAAAAATTATATCTCGAAAGCACATTAAATTCAGAAAAAAGTGAACTTGCTTCAGTACTGTATTTCGATATTAATTATAATTTCGACATCCTCAACTTTGATCCTTAGAAATATTTTCGTTTCTCGGCCGATGCCGAAAACGTTGCTGGCATCTCGAAAATTTGCGATAAATCATACTAGTTTCAGAAATATATTCAAGAGAGATGACCTAAAGTTCTACAAAGTGGGCCTTTCCTGCAAGTGCGAAATGCATTTAGAAAGTTTGTGAAATCAATCCCACATTTCTCGAAACTTTCCGAGCAGCTGCGTGGATCCTCGAAGTTGAACTTCTTCCATTAGAATCAAATGGAGAACAATACGTTCAAATTTTCCCAACTGGGCTTTTGACCGATGCATTTTTCAGCAGATCAAGCAAAGAAATCTACACCGAATGGTGAAAAATATAAATATATTTCCTATCGGATCGGTTCCGGAAGAAAAATAACCCTGGGACAAATTGGTTCTTCTCACGTCCCATGCGGAAAGACATGACACTTCCGAAGATGGTTTATTCATTTATCATCTTTTCATCTGCTTTTCTATTGTAAAATGTAAACAGATAACATATACTGGACATTCTTTTGAGGTTTAAGCACTGTATGGAATTTTGTACCGTTTTATTTCCCATGCTTCGAGAATTGAATTGATCAGGTTCATCGTCCACATTTGCACCCAAATGACATGAGAAGGGTTGCCTTTCAAAAGTTTCTGCAGTCTGTTCACGTGTGTCAACTCAACTGAAAAAATTATATCACCTGAGTTGGATATCTAAATTCTAATTATATTTTCTTTTGCTGGATGTTATCGCAAGGCAAAGCCAGATTTCCAGAAAACCATAAGTGTGAGATTGAATTGCAAAGCTTATCGCAATCCAGTGCTATTTATTTACCAAGAATTTTTTTTTAAATCGCAACCCGTGCTTAGAAAACGTATTCTCTCTCGTCTGGAAGTATAAAATGAAGATTACGTAGTCAGAAACCCTCGAAATTCAAAAAGATTGACGGTGAAAAGCGTTACATTATAGGCCATATATTCCACTTGATAAAACTCATTCCTTAAGAGTTACTTTCAATAAATGGAAATATAAACTATTGCTCAAGAGAAACATTTTTTCCTATGTGGAATACACAAGTTTCACTCTGCAATGCAACATTTTATGAATGGAATAAAAAAAAATTGGGAACAATTCAATATTGAATCATTCTCAAACACTGGTATCAATTTTACGTAGCTTCGGAAGAATAAATTTGTTTCGGAAGAACGCTTTTCGAGCTCTTTTTGTACCTCATTCAAAAGACGCTCAAAAATATATGAGCCTAAATAATACCCAAATTGCTTGGAGCACTTTTTGTTGCTGGAAAAAGCACTTGATTTATTCGAAAGCTAGTATGACGGCGTTCAAGAACTATCGCTATCTTTTGTTCCTCGAAGGTAACGTTTTAAAAACCTTTTATTTTTTAAAACAGGCAGCCAAAAAGCGGAAAATTTCTTACTGCCCCTCGCGTCGTCGTGTTTTTCTCTTCTGTCTCTCCACCATTTGTAGTACTGCCACGTTTTTCCCCGAGACAAATTCCGGCGGAAATGTCCTTTCACTAAAGGAAAGGACATCACGTCGTCCACCCGTGAGTGGGCGCATATATATAGTCAAAGATACAACCGCAGGGCTCTTATTCGTGGTTGAGAATGAAAAATATCGTCTCAGCCATTAAAGAGTGAAGGCAAAACGAACGACATCGACCCTGTGTGGAAGTTTCTCCTTCGGGATCCCCGGGATCCCCGAGAGGCGAAGCGCCTTTATTTCTCGGCACGTCATCCATCTTTCCTGAATCCAGTGGGGAAAGAGAGAGAGAGAGAGAGAGAAAAATAAAAAAAGAAGAAGAAAACCGGAGCAACACGCTTGGGATTGTTGCCTCTTCCTCGAAGATCCCACCATGGAAAAAGCATCGTAAAAATGTGTGTGCCCATGCTCATATAGCTATAATGCAAACTACTCCCACACGAGAAGTCTTCATGCTATATATACAGGGGCTGTTTCATTTTTTTGTTCAAATTTTTAATCGGATTTTCTTCAGGAGAAAAAAAGGGAATCATTCGCTAAACACCATCGCTGGGAAGATTTTTTAAATTGTGGTCCCCGGGGATAAGCGAAAAGCTCGATTTTTTTTATTAAGAGAAGGAAGAAAACCTACCTCCTTTTACGCCATGAAAAATTTCAACAGGATATTTCTCCCGAAAGCAGCTTCCATGCGTTGGCTTAACTCCGTTTTTTTTTCGAAAAATTTCAGCTGGATAAACTAGCAAATATTTTCAGAAAATAAATTTGATGAACTCGTTCAGCTGTCAGCGAAATGTTCTACCCTTCGCATCCGCATATCTCCAGATTAAAATAAAGTATATGTAAAGTTTCCCGTTGTAAACAATTGCAGAATCAAAAATGATCTACGAAAAACCTGTGTTACAACTGAAGAAAAAATGAAGAACGAAAGTTTCGTGGAAGTTTATGGCGTGAAAATTGAAAAGAAAATTCAAGCCTTCGGATTCTTCAATTAAAGAAGGAAGTACGGTACTAGTACCTGTAAAGATCGAAAACGACAGCAGAAATAATGTGCCACGAAAAGAAACTCATTTGATTTTCAAATGCCTGATTAATTTGGAAGCAAGAATTGAATTTTATATTGGCACTGTGAGACTGCTCAAGAACAAGGTGTTTTCTGCTATTATAAGCGAAGCCGTGTGAAATTTATATGTTTTCCATCATTTTCAGGGACCTGTTTTACCTAGCAATTATTGATTTGTATGCTTACTTTACAAATTTTATGCGACAAAGCTCACAATAAAAACATGCATGCAGTGCTAAATGCAGTGCTAAACTGCATTTCTGGGGAAAGAAAACTAGGATTAAAAAAGATTGTCATTCAAACAAATCCAAGGAACTTTACAAAACTTGTCCGTTTTATTGTGATCTTTCTGATGCCGTGTTGAATGTGCAGAAATATATTGCAGTTGAATAAAAGTCTAAGCAAATTAATGTAAAACAGAATTTAGCACGGCTTGTTGTTCGTATTATTCTGAAAATGTTTGAAAAACTCTGGCCAAGAACAGGAGAGACTAAAGAACTGCATATCAGAATCACTGCTACGTTTTCGAACTACTGTATTAATCAAGCCTGTGACCTTCTCGTGAGAAGGTAAATGTCACAGGAAGAATTATAATTTTCCCCACCAAAGACCGCATATCTGTATAAATAGATCCCCCCACGGAGAATTCACATTTTTTCCAAAATGCATTTCATGAATATTTTCCTTTGTTTTCATTCTGGTTCAAGTTTGGAACCTGCATCTATTTTAGCTCTTTCCTTTGTTTAATAGAAGCGGGACTTCAGCTTTTTTCGAACAGTTTTTTCCCCAAATTATGAACTTCCAAAGTTGTCTTTCTCAAAATAAACGTTGAAATGCATAAAACCGTGATGAATAGAAAGAAGATTTTTCTGCTTTTCGCTGATCTAAAATATATGACAACGTCAGAATCATCAAATGAAAAACAGAGACGGGTTTTCCCTAAAAATTTGCCGAAAATGCGGATATGATCAGAGCGTAATATCACTTTATATAATTATTAGATTAATGAGTGCAAAAATTGAAATCTGCAGCAGTGAATCTTGGGGCGTGATTCTGTCATTGAATTATTTCACTGAGATTTAGCTCTTGTTGATTAATAAAATTTCAAGCCTTTCGAGATTCCAATTTTTTATGGATATTTTAGAATATATGAATGCAAAATAAATAAGATTCTGCGGGTGGAAAGAGAGAAAGAGATAACTTTGATATAGAAAGCGGTCTGTTATTTTCTTCCAGCGGTCATGCAAAAATAATTCCATCCACCCTCATCCATTAACCACTGCCTTTGATGAATCCGCGGAAAATTTCCGAAAAGTGTCTTGTTCGTTCTTCATCAGTCTTCTACGTAGTTTTCTCCTAAAACCCCTCCTCCGTCTTCTTATGACGTGTGGGCTTNTACAGGGGCTGTTTCATTTTTTTGTTCAAATTTTTAATCGGATTTTCTTCAGGAGAAAAAAAGGGAATCATTCGCTAAACACCATCGCTGGGAAGATTTTTTAAATTGTGGTCCCCGGGGATAAGCGAAAAGCTCGATTTTTTTTTATTAAGAGAATGAAGAAAACCTACTTCCTTTTACGCCATGAAAAATTTCAACAGGAGATTTCTCTCGAAAGCAGCTTTCATGCGTTGGCTTAACTCCGTTTTTTTTAATCTCAGCTGGATAAATTTGCAAATGTTTTTATAAAAAAAATTTGATGAACTCGTTCAGCTGTCAGCGAAATGTTCTACCCTTCGCATCACCATATCTCCAGATTAAAATAACGTATATGTAAAGTTTCCTGCTGTAAACAATTGCAGAATCAAAAATGATCTACGAAAAACTAGTGTAACAACTGAAGAAAAAATCATGAACGAATTTTTTATGGAAGTTTATGGCGTGAAAATTGAAAAAAATTTCAAGCCTTCGGATTCTTCAATTAAAGAAGTAAGTACGGTACTAGTACCTGTAAAGATAAAAAACGACAGCCGAAATAATGTACAACAAAAGAAACTCATTTGATTTTCAAATGCCTGATTAATTTGGAAGCAAGAATTGAATTTTATATTGGCACTATGTGAGACTGCTCAAGAACAAGGTGTCTTCTGCTATTATAAGCAAAGCCGTGTGAAATTTATATGTTTTCCATCATTTTCAGGGACCTGTTTTACCTAGCAATTGTTGATTTGTATGCTTACTTTGCAAATTTTATGCGACAAAGCTCACAATAAAAACATGCATTGGACTAAATGCAGTGCTAAACTGCATTTCTGGGGAAAGAAAACTAGGATTAAAACAGCTTGTCATTCAAACAAATCCAAGGAACTTCACAAAACTTGTCCGTTTTATTGTGATCTTTCTGATGCCGTGTTGAATGTGCAGAAATATATTGCAGTTGAATAAAAGTCTAAGCAAATTAATGGAAAACAGAATTTAGCACGGCTTGTTGTTCGTATTATTCTGAAAATGTTTGAAAAACTCTGGCCAAAAACAGGAGAGACTAAAGAACTGCATATCAGAATCACTGCTACGTTTTCGAACTACTGTTTTAATCAAGCCTGTGACCTTCTCGTGAGAAGGTAAATGTCACAGGAAGAATTATAATTTTCCCACCAAAGACCGCATATCTGTATAAATAGATCCCCCACGGAGAATTCACATTTTTTCCAAAATGCATTTCATGAATATTTTCCTTTGTTTTCATTCTGGTTCAAGTTTGGAACCTGCATCTATTTTAGCTCTTTCCTCTGTTCAATAGAAGCGGGACTTCAGCTTTTTTCGAACAGTTTTTTCCCCAAATTATGAACTTCCAAAGTTGTCTTTCTCAAAATAAACGTTGAAATGCATAAAACCGTGATGAATGGAAAGAAGATTTTTCTGCCTTTCGCTGATCTAAAATATATGACAACGTCAGAATCATCAAATGAAAAACAGAGACGGGTTTTCCCTAAAAATTTGCCGAAAATGCGGATATGATCAGAGCGTAATATCACTTTATATAATTATTAGATTAATGAGTGCAAAAATTGAAATCTGCAGCAGTGAATCTTGGGGCGTGATTCTGTCATTGAATTATTTCACTGAGATTTAGCTCTTGTTGATTAATAAAATTTCAAGCCTTTCGAGATTCCAATTTTTTATGGATATTTTAGAATATATGAATGCAAAATAAATAAGATTCTGCGGGTGGAAAGAGAGAAAGAGATAACTTTGATATAGAAAGCGGTCTGTTATTTTCTTCCAGCGGTCATGCAAAAATAATTCCATCCACCCTCATCCATTAACCACTGCCTTTGATGAATCCGCGGAAAATTTCCGAAAAGTGTCTTGTTCGTTCTTCATCAGTCTTCTACGTAGTTTTCTCCTAAAACCCCTCCTCCGTCTTCTTATGACGTGTGGGCTTCTGATGTTTCCTGATTATTATTTTTTTCGTCAAAGAATCCCGAGAGCTTTTTTCCCCATTACTCGGTTTACCTGGTTCGCGGTGTGTGGTTCAAAGCCCCTCAGGCACTTTGTATTCCTTCAACGAATAATCCTTATGGCTGATGAGTGAAGTCATGAAGAGGAAACAGACGTCACCACTTCTATACAGGAGAAAAAAATAGACACAAATATCATCAATTAGCCTTCCGTTGTTGCATAGATGAAATAGGGTTTCTTGATGACACGGGTACGTGTTACCAAGAGCTTTCAGACCTCGTCATCATCACTACCCTGTTCCATCAGAAAAGGGTTTTTTGGTTATTGTTTCTGAAGGAGCTGTGTTCATCAGGCATCGTCAATGGATGTCAGCAGCCCTTGATTAGAACTTCTCATCTACGCCATTTTTTCTATGGCACTCATGGTAAATTCTCTTATAATCGAACAACCATTTTTATTACAAACATACATGATATACGAGGGGTCTAGCAAAAGTTCTTGGAATATAAATTTAAATGGAATATAATT